AACATGTTCGACAAATAATAATCAATGTACACTACTATAATTAGAAGTCAGCCCACACATGGTAAAGAAAAACAGTCATAAATGTTCCACCTGCTGCAGCTTTTGGTATTGCACTTGTAGTTACCACTACTGATGCTAAGGAACTTTTCTCAAATTTTGCTTGAACTGAAAATGTTTTCGTGACAGAAGCATTTGTGTTATGTGTTACTTTTGCCTTTACAAATATAATTAAAGAAGATTTGAGGTGTTTTCTTTTAATGAGTAGCACCCTTTAGAAGCATACTTGATACACCCTCTTTGCTCTTGCTCTCCTTCCTTACCTTCACTGTTTCTCTTTTCTTCACTTGTGGCTGTTGTCATAAAGTTTGCCTTCCCAACCTCCAGATCCCCTCCATCTTGTTCCTATTCTCCCTCCAAACAAAATAAAACAAAACAAAGCTCTGTTAATTATTTTTTCTTCCCAAGACAAGTTCATGTTTTTTTAACATACTACAGGAGGACAGCATATGCTGATTTTGCTGCTTAAATATTATTTTTCATTGTTTCTGTGTTTATTTTTCCAAATGTGCTAAGAGACCTCCCAGTGAGATCCCTTCTTCCCACTCCAGTCTTCCCCTTAGGAATCTGAATGTTGCTAATATCTCTTGGGTAAAATCCAGCCACTGTGTCCACAAGTCAAGCTGAATTTACTCCATGCCCTGCAGCTGTTCCATTGTCTCTTTATTACAACACAAGTTTCTGTTTGTTTTATTTATTTATCATTTCTAAGTACCAGGCTTTCTGGCAAAATGTTGCCAGCTGGAAGTTACATGAAAAATGTTTAGCACAGCTTTAACATATGCTCCAGTGTATGTGTACATGCATTTCATTCTTGGTAAATCAGCATTTAGGGAGTATGGGGAAATAGGCTGTGAAATGTGATCAGCTTGTCCTGAGCTACTGTGCTATTTAATATAATCTCTAGCAAATTCAGATAGCATAAACTCATCCAAGTCCTTAGTGTGTGCATTTGCTCCTCCCTGAAGTATTAATAGCAAAACAGTCTCTTAGGCAACTACGTGAATGAAAAATTAAGAAAAATAAATATAAAAGTAATGAATAGGTATTGCTGATGAATAACCATCATCCCTGACTGTGCTAAATCACATTTCTAATCTCTTTATTTTGAGCATTTATTAGCACTTCTCTCAGTTAAATAAGAATGAAGTGCTATAAATAATATTTATGCCTCTAGGAGCTTATGTAGAGGGTCTTCTGTAGCTTTTCCCTCATTCAGAATTAACTAGTCAACTTCTCTGTTGATAGGACATAAAATACAGAAATAAGGAAGAAAACTATTGCTATCTGCACAAAATTATCTTTTCTCTTTTTTTTAAGGGATGGGGAGATACCGCATCATTTCACAGATCCCTTTATCATCACTTGGTGCAACAAGAATTCCGATTCCAATGTCTGCTGCTGTGTTCCTATGTCAATCCAACACAGATCTCTCTCAGCAGATTGGCCAAGCACATTAAGAGTAGGTCTTTCTGCCTTCCTGGGCAAATCATCCTTCACATTTATGGTGAATTCCCACCTATGAATCATAACAAACACATGCTTTGTTATTGACCTCAAGTTCAGCACCTTCACAGGCAGCTCTACATTTCATGCATCTGTCGAGAAGACTTGAAACAAACAGAAATAACGTAAGTATAAACTTCTGGTGAATACTAAGTTCCTTTCACTGTAAATTTTCATTGGATTCTTCATGAGTTTTCTGTACTGCTATCTAAAATACACTGATGTTAGATAATAATGAACTATGGTTTAGATCTACTTCTGATACTTCAGGGGGAAGAATTGTTTCTGAGGTATTTCTCAGGAACCACACACTGTCCACCAGGGTCCATGTGGACTTGAACACAGCTGATTATTTGTGGCAGTTTGGATCCTCACCGCTTATACAAAATCTAAATAAAAAAATCAAACATGTATCATGGCATTCATCCATATATTTGACACTAAAGTATAAATTCAGGCATAAGTCCAAATAGGGCAAGTAATTGTAATAAATATATACTTTTATGTAGTTGCCTCAATATGTGCATGATGCATCCCTTCTAATTAATTTATATCTACAATGACTAACTTTCCTCTCCCCTTTCTCCAGCATGCCTCACCACTGACTCTAGTTGTTTAAGAAAGATTATGTCACTGTAAAGGCATCAAGGAACCAAAACACTTAAATTTAGGAATAAAACAAAAACAGAGGGCTTCAGATGGTGTATAAATCAAAAGATGACTACTCTTCACTTGAACACACACTTTCATCTAGCCAGTTACATATTGGTAAGCATGCAGTGAATGTTCAGGACAGTTTAAAGCAATCTACAAAAGATTTTGTATCGATATGCATGACTAATCAACACAATCATTGTCTTACATATCACCTTTGACTTTAGACTCTTGGGTTCAAACCATCAGAGAGAATAATTTTGTGACATTTAAACCTTGAAATGTGATATAGATTGATAATGACATTAAGTTGTGACAAAAGACCTGTACCAAAGAAAACAGCCATTTTGAGAAGTGCCACCTTCTGTCTCTCAAAATCCTCAGCTTTCTTTTTTGAAACAATCTGTGGATGTTGTGTCACAGGGAGAACAAGTCTGCAGATCCTCATCCTGATTTTTTGCAGTGTAAGCTCATTTATGTTACTCTGCACCCGGAGCTGGAAGAGCAACCTTCACCCTATCTTACATTAAGCTATTGAGCAAGTGTCTTTGAAGAGCTCTTGTTTCCATATTTGCTTTCAGG